TCCCCCATTATCCTTTTCCTAATTCTCAGTACGTACTTTTCTGTATTTCTTGGCCACAAGTTAGCGATATCTATTAAACGGGTAAGATTCGACCTAAAACGAATCAATTTGTGCTGTGTTGGATTGCTGGTGGTGTGAGTTAGGTGGGCATGACTGCAGCAGGCACAAGTGCGTTGAAGTCTCTGCCAAGAACGTGGGCCGCCACATTTACGATCTTGCATCAAAAGGCATTACTTGATATTCTTAGCCGTTAACGAATTATGAAACTAGTTTAGCCGATCTCCGACAAGCAGCATATTCAACACTCAATGAAGCTTCCTTTACTTCCTTTAGCACTTCGAACCGTCTTCTCGTCAGTACAATTTTAAACACTAAGGCAATTCAGATTCCCAACTTTTCACAATCAGTGCACATGGCGGCCACATACTGCTCATCACTAGACTAACAAATTCACACAGCTAGCATAGATGGTAGTACAATCTGTGCAAGAAGTCATGGAGTTGCGTTGAGGTGCACTCAACCTGGGACTGTAAATACCGATTAAGAGAAGGAGCTCTCTATTGGCATTTTGCTGCAAGACACAACGTGGTCATCTCATCTCGATTGCTTTTTTGCAATTGGTCAAATCTCATATCTGATTGACATGTGTCGTGATGTTTGTAGTTAGGTCTCCTCGAGTATTTTTGTGAGGATGTTTAGCTTTGCCAATCGCTAGACTCTAAAAACAAACCCAGAATTAGGCAAAGATGTGTACATTCTTCTTTAGCCCCTAATTACTCTTTTCACTATGGATCAGGCTACCTCTCCGTCTATGACCGTGCGACTGTCTGACTTCACATACGCGTCATTGTCTATTACTGCTATTATGTCCTTTTAAACAATCTGTTTAACTAGCATTCCGCACAAACGGGTAAGATGCAGCACTTTCCTTCCTGGTTTGCCATCACTGTTTTCACTGTAGTCACCGTGTGCGTATGTGTGTGCACGTACATTCATCTCATCTCCTCTTCCTCCGAACCCAACCTCTGCCAAATCTGCAGATTACTCTAACTGGGATCAAGCAAGATCTGTTCTAACTATTCGTTTGGTTTATGATCGCCTGGTTTTTTGTAGAATTGATTGCATCTCTTCACCGTGCCAAAAATTTATCATCCATCCACCATTCCACTTAATAACAACACTGCTTCGTTGGACTCCTTTCCTCCATATACCACCCAATTCCTTCTTTCGTCTTGGGAACTTTGAAATGCCAAATTCCAAAAAGGCAGCATTAGGAAAGCAAAAGCTGAATAGTGGCACTCAACAAAACATCGAAACAAATTTCGATGCAAGTGATTGCGAAGATAAAGGCAAAAGCACTGATTTCAAAAGAGTCTACACCGCATGAGAATAATCTTTGTGGTAAAAGTGTTTCGCGTTAGTGTTATCCCTATTAGCCACGACTTCATGAGCATTGCATGCAGCTCCTAACTGTAATTAATACCATCGACTTCAACAGATACCACGAACTTCTTTCTTTACGGACTTTTGCCGCAAGTTCACAATTAACACGGCTGACACATCCATTGTTCGTGTTCTCTTTGCTGCATCCAATCACGTCATGTGGAGGAAAACAAAGAATTCCAAACGGAAACCCGGCTAGTCATTCCTTTGATTTAAGCTGGTGGTGGAAATTCCGAAAGCAGAGGAAAAGACGTCAGTGGCAACTTCTTTGAACCACTGCACATCTTACACTTCCAAACTGTTCATGCCCCTATTCGGCGAACATCGCATCTTTTCGATCTATATACATTCTTCCCAACACATTAATGCAAAACCCTATCTTCCCCTCACTTACCTCAGCCAAGTTCGCCCAGTATATGTAAGCAGCTTGGTGCCTTAACAGCGTCAATCATAGACACAGGGAAGCCGTTGGTTAGTGTGCGACCATAAGCAGAGCCGAGTTGCAGTATTCTCGACCACCAGACAGACGTGGTAGCTAGTTCACTAACCCATTTATACTTGTGGGCGAACTAATTTTATTTAGTGCGCAGGGGCTGCGCATAATT